TGGCCGCGGCTCGTTGCGAGGCCCGCCACGTCACTCGGCGGCGGCCGGCGGCCCCTTTCGCTTTTGCGCCACCCCGGGGAGCGAGGCCTTCCCGCCTCCCCGCCTCCCTCGAGCTTGTGTTCTAACTGCAGTCGCCACGTTGTGCCCAGGTCTCTAGAACAGACTCACTTTGTAAACGGAGAGTTTGCCTCCCTTGACAACGTCTGACCTTGGTGGCGTGGCTCCTGCTGTTTCTGTGGGGTGGGCTCCCTTAGATCCCACATGGGAGTGGGATCACGCGTGGATGTCTTTCGGGGCCTGGCCTGTTTCGCTCAGCATCACGTCCTCCAGGTCCCTCCGTGTTGTTGCGAGTGACAGGACTTCCTCCTCCTCCGGGCAGGCTAATGCGCACTGTGTATGTACCAGGTGCACATGCCTTGCCGGTTCACGTGGTGGACACTTAGGTTGTTTCCACGCCTGGGCTGTGGCGAACAACGCTGCAGCCAGACAGCTACTCAAGATGGGGATTTTTTTCCCTTTGAATACGTGTACCCAGCGAGGGATTGCCGAATTGTGTGGTCATTCTAGTTTTAATTTTTTGAGGAACCTCCCTGCCGTTTTCCATAATGGCTGGACTAATGTTATTCCACTGACAGTGTACAAGGTTCCCTGTCTCCTTAATTTTTGACTTTTTGAAAACTGCCAGCTTAACAGCTGCGAGATAGCATGTCAGCTATGGCATTGCTTTGCTTCCCTGGTTAGTGAGTTTAGTGCCTTTTCACATAGCCGGTGACCTCTGTATGTTTCTTCGGAAAAATAGCAATTCAGGCTCTTCCTCATTTTAAAATTGGGTTATTAGATTTTTTTTGCTATTGAGTTGTATGAGTTCCTTATATATTTTGGACATCAGCAGGATCTATGGTTTGGAAATATTCTCTCCCATTCTGTAGTTGTCTTTTGTTTTGTTTGCTGTGCAGAAACTTTTTAGTTTGACTCATTCCTACTTGCTTATATCAGATCTTAATGTGACTGTCCTCAGCTCTCCCCATAGGGTAGGGTAGGTTAACTGCTGTCACCATAGAGCCCAAAAGTGGACAGGGGTTTAGACACGGCAGCAGTTGCATTTTTGCTCAAGCACCAGTGCTGGGTGGGCGGCAGGTCAGCGGGTTGTCCCCTTCATACGGCTGGTCGGGACCCTGAGAGGCCTTTGTTTCCTCGCCACCTGGCTGCCAGAGCTGCCCCCAGGACTCATTCCTGACTCTTGAAAAGGGAAGAGAGCAGGGATGAGCTCTGTGGGGGGGGGGGCCGGGGGGCCAGGCCCGGGGGGGGGGTATGTTACTTCCCCT